CCCCAAAACCCCAAAACCCCGTTTTATGAAAACCCCTTAATATAAAACTAATGAGTTTATAGATAAAATTACTGACTAAAAAATATAAAATAATAAGTTTCCATTCAGTTAAAGCTTAATTATATTGATTAAGCTTATTTAAAAGGCTTATCTTAATTCTCTGGTCAATTATTAAGTTGTTTGTTCATTGGTATAACACTTGTATCGTTGAGTCCACTGTGGAATGTGTTGTCTGGAGTGGTCTGAATGGTCCCTACATGTGATTTATCGATAGATGTGTTAGGATATTAAACTGAGTTTACTTAGTATCCTGCTGTCTGATTCATCATGGATGCTTAATGTTGATATAATTGTTAGTTTTACTGGACACCATAAGGGGAAACTTAATTAATGCCAACTTAACCCATATTCATGCCATTCATTCCCATCATCATTTAAGGATTGCCTGCAGTCATCATTCCTGGGTTTACTCCAAACATTTAAGCTCCAGGAACGTAAAGAGCTGGCATCTGAATTCCTAATTTTCTCATGATTTATTCATCAGGTGTCTCAGATATCACTCCATTTTGTAAAGCTTTCCAATACAATGAGTCAGTGAATTCATGTTTGGGTTTTAATCTCTTACAATTAGTTGATTCACAAACTTTTTATGGCATTCCACCTTTGTAATTAAATTTACGCATCATCTAGAGATAACATAATACCATTGGAAATCCGACAAAAAACGCTACTCCACCGATAATACCTCCAGCCATTGCTGGTGCAACATCACTTATGTCACTAGATTTACTACGTCTTGAGGACCTGGAGGAGGATGATGAAGTTGTTACTTTCTTGGTTGTAGTAGCTTTGACGAAAATCAAATCTGCAGAATTAAGCATTTAATACTCGATATCAGAGAGATATATAGTAGTCCCATCTCTTTCAACTCTCCAGGTGCTGTTGCTAAAGTATGACATTGTCTGCTACATGTATCTTTTCGATCTCAAAGGAGGTTCTACTGTTTAAGTTACAGGTACATCTTGAATTTAAGCTCCATTAGTGGATTGAGATTTCTTTCTAAAGCTTATTTTCTATTAACTAGTTGTAGGAGTAAAAGATTTAAAGTTCAGTGATCTAGTTCGAGTCTCAGTCTAACTTTTTATCTAGTCTTTTTCATCTTATTGACATTAGATAAGCGTCTAGAAGACCAGAACTATAAGAAACATGGAAATCTTTCGTTAGTTTAGTTTTAGTTGCATCATTAAATTTTTATTTGCTAATATTAATCTGTGGGTTAATTAATACTACTATATAATAGCCTATTTTATTTAATTACCTTTATTAGAAGAAACAATTTTGTCTTTGGGGTTTTGGGGTTTTGGGGTTTTGGGGTTTTGGGG